TTTTTTTTTTTTTTTTTTCCCAGGGAGGGGGCAGTTAGTGAGCGGATATTTAATTTAATGTCTGTGCATCTGGCACTGCTTGCCTGTGCCCACATTCCTGATCTGCTTCTCAGTCACCGTTCAGGTTGTATTGGCCACGCTGGCTGGTCAGGCAGCAGGACGGCAGGAGTCTGCGGCCCTAGAGTCCTGCCTGGGGAGACCTGAAAATTGTCATCTTCTGTGCCCCGGGGGTCCGTCCTCTCTGTATTCAGAGCCGTTTGCCCTCCTAATGAGGTAGTGGGCACCAGTAATCACCCCACTGCCAGAGCCTTCTCCTCTCTAAGTAGGATTAACGTCAGACCAGCCTAGAACATTGGCTGCCAAAAAGGGACTAATTTTGAGATCACGAAAAGAACTCGGGCTGATTTTCTGATTATGAGAACTTCTCACGCTTCTCTGCTGTCCGGATCCTGGCTTGGGAGGAGGTGGTGGGAGAGGAGAGGGGGGCAGCTGGGCTCATCCCTGGTGCCCTCCTTTGGGGTACTGGCAAGCAGCTGCTCCCAGAGATGAGAAATTGCCCATCTGGTTTAGTTCCGTGAGTGTTGAGTACACAGTAGGCACTCGATACATGCTGAATGATGCGAGCATTGCCTAAGAGCTCAAAGAACACTTGGTGGCAGAACTCCTGAACTCATCCATCCAATCTATTTGTTCCCAGTTCTGGGTTTTTTTTTTTTTAAATGCTTATTAATTTATTTTGAGAGACAGAGAGTGGGTATGTAGGAGTGGGGAGAGGCAGAGGGAGAGGGGGAGACAGAATCTCAAGCAGGTTCTGAACTGTCAGCACAGAACCTGACACGGGGCTCGATCTCATGAAGCGTGAGATCATGGCCTGAGCCAAAATCAGGAGTCGGTCGCTTAATTGACCGAGCCACCCAGGCGTTCTCACTTTTGAAAGATATTTCTTGGGGACCTTGTATTGACATTCTCACCATGGCATCCTACCTTGGCTTCGCTTTCAATAAACCCTAATAAAAGTGAACTTTTCTGTAATTGTGAGTGTAGGCAGCAAACCCCTGTACCCCGGGACCTCTGACTTTGTTGCCGGCCTCCTGGTAACAGTGTTGCAGATCCTGGGAACATCGTTTACACCCAATTAGGGAGAATAAAGAATTCGCGTTCTTAGTATTCCCCGTGTTACAAATTAGTGCTTTAAGACTCGGGTAACTATTTTAGTAGAAGCGGTTTCCGTTTAAATTCTTTTGTATTTTATTTTATGCTTCTACAAACACTTTTCTGAGGGGGGGCGGTCCTTAGGCCTCACCAGCCCCACTGGAGAAGTCACGAGCCTCCCCGCGCCTTGCTGGCCAGGCTCTGCGTTCCGTGCCGAGAGTCCATTCTGCAAATGAAACTGAGATTCTTTCTGCCCGTGTGCTCAGCAGGCAAGAAAGGGCGACCGGGATCTGCCCCAAATGGGGGCGGTTTGTTTGTGGCCGCTTCATTTAAAAATGTACGTTAAGCACCTCAAGTGAAATTCACGCTGGAGTTGGGGTGGGGGAGGCGGGTGTCACAGGGCAGGTCCCTCGGTACTGCCATCTCCTGCCCAGAGTGGGGAGTCCACGGGCCATCTGGGAGCAGAACCCCAGGCCCCACCCCGGACCCACAGAACCTGACGCTGCATTCTCAGAAGGTGCCCAGACGATGCCGTCTCAAGTCGGCGTCGTGAGAACAGTCAGCCTCAGAAGGGCTGCTGCCCCTGACTTGAGTATGAACATCTCTGGCTCTAGGCCAACAGGGAGGTCCACGCGGCGCTTTAGAGCGCTGCCCTCCACAGGCTGTGTGGCTGTCCAGCAGAGCCCTGGAGAAGGGCTGACCTCTCCCTGGTTCCTTCACTAGCATTTAGTGGCCCCGACGGTACGCCAGACCCTGGGCCACGTGTGACGACACCGGAGTGGGACCCCACCCTTGCGGAACGTCTACTTCTAGAGGAGAAGGAGGCGAGTAACAAGTAAACCATGTAGCCCAGGGCAAGCTGAGTGCTGGAAAGTGTGCAGAGTGGGGATTGGAGGGCACATCTGATCTGAGAACTGAGAGAGGCCTGCCCAAGCCCACATGGCCAGCAGGGCAGAAGGGGACCCTCTGGGGCCCGCAAGAAGGATGTCAGGAGGGTCCGACACAGACAGGCTGAAAAGCGGTTCTTTTGGAAGAAGCCAGCCCCGTAAAGACCCGAGTAAAGGTGTCTCAGGCAGAGGGAACAGCATGTGCAGATGTCCTGAGGCACGCAGGCCAGAGTGGGGGTGCGGAGAGGGGCCTAGGCAGGGACCGGACCATAGAGGCCCTGCTGGGTTGGGGCTCAGTGCCCGCCCTTCCAGGGCCCCAGACTCACCAGGGCGCTCTGAAGCGGGCGCTGGTAGCCCGTGGGCCGGTAGTGCCTCCTTTCCACTGGGTCGGTGTGGACGTCCCCCAGGTATAGCTCGTCCACCAGCCGGGGCCCGGCCCGGGGCTGCAGCTGCACGCGGCGCTGCGTGCGGACCAGGCTGAGCTCGTGCATGGTGAAGCCCAGCGCCTCCGTGCAGTCCCGCTTGGCCCGGGCGCTCAGCAGCTCGTACAGTGCCCCGGGCAGCCAGGCCCGGGCCGGGGGCAGCCGCTGGGCACAGTCCTGGCCCGCCCAGGTCTGGTTGAGGCTCCTGGTGACGTCGAGCAGCGCACGGCGGCTGTGAAAGACGATGCCCACCTTGTGTAGCTGGTAGTCAGCCTCGGTGGCACCCCGGGTGACCCAGGAGGCCCGGCGCAGGCGGACCTTGCCCTTGATGAGCAAGGAGTGGGCGGGCTCCCGGCAGAAGGGGTCCCTGTAGTAGAATTGGTAGCCTCGGAAGAGACGGTTGGGGTAGAATGTGTAGGAACGGGTGAGGAACTCGGGTCCCGGGCGCACCTCGCAGCTGTCGGACAGAGACGGGGATCGGACAGAGCCGTGAGAACCAGCGCGTTGAGCTGAGCGCCTCCCTCGGGGCTGGGCTCCTGCAGCCTCAGTTTCCCTGCGTGGTCTCAGCCCCACCCTTGAGCCCAGCGGCCCGCCACGTCATGCCCTGTGGGGCCTCCTTCAGCGGACACCCTCCCTTGTGGCACGGGTCCCGGTGGGTCCTGTGGATCCCTACTGGCCCAAGAAGTGTGCAGGCCTTGCGGCCAGAGGACCCGGGCTCCAATCTCATTTCCGTCCCTCAGTGGCTGTGGGTAATGCCCCGCTCCTTCCTCTGTGACGTGGAGGCATCAGACTCACCGTCAGGGCCTCCGGGAAGCCTGAAGCACGGTGACAGTGCCTGGGGGGTGCTTGGGAAACAGAGGTTCCCTTGCACCGTTTGGGGAGCCCTGTGCTGTGAGCTGCAGGAGGCGGTGGCCTGTCCGTCCTTCCCCCACTGGCTCCCCGGCACCTGGCCCAGAGCCTGGCACCCCATGGCCCCTCCCTGGGGCCTCACTCAGTGAATCGTGACCGATGGGCACTTACATTCGGTCTCCCCTTCGCTAGGTTGAGTCCCCTGACCGAGTGTAATCCGTGTCGGTTCAGAGTTTGCTGTGGAGGGTTCAGATGGGGCGGATGTTGGATGAGTTCCAGGGGGAACAAAAGAGTAGGCAGGTACCCCCTTCGCATGGCTCACGCCATCTATGCTCTTATTTTCGCAAGAGCTTTCAGACCAAGGCCGATGGCGCAAAGGAAACATGTTCTTACCCAGCACGCAAACAGTTCCCTTTTCCTTTTCGGTCTTTCTGATTACGTGAAGGAGAAAGTCCCTGTTGGAGCTAACGTGTCTTTAACGCCAACCTCCCTTTTCTCCCAGAGAGAACAGACTCTGAGGCAGGCGACGAATCCAGTGAGGATTTAATTATGTTGTCTTGTTTTCATTGACTTTCTTTTTACAGTTGCCTCCTATTTATGGCAGGTGGCTGTGCTCTCCCTATCCACAGTGAGATTACGCTTCCGTTAAAAATAATTATAGTGCGTGGTAAATGTGTGCAGTTTACTGTATAGCAATTATACCTCAATAAAGCTGTAAAAAGAAATGAATATATTTAGGTAAACAAAAGCAAGCTGGTTTAAAGAAAAATGGTAAGGAGATGCCAGTACAGGAGGTAGTTAAAAACAGAGAGGGGTGACTCATCCACCTGAGGGTGGGCCACAGCCCTGTCCTCACCTGCATCCCAGTCGGGGCCGGAGGTGGGAGATTTGCCTAATGGGGTGCAGCAGGCCACAGCGGATAACTCAGTGGTTCCCAGACTCTGGATTGTTCCCGGCACTGCCCCCAGGAAGCAGCAAAGCCCGTCTAGAGGGCACGAAGAGGAACTTTCTAGGAAGAAAGTTCTAGAAGTTTCTAGAAGAACTGTCCTGGAATGCCGTTGTCTCAGGGCAGAAGCAGCCTGCAACCAGTTCTGATGTTCCCCACACCCCAGTTCTATCTCAGGGTGACCCGGGCCAGTGGCGCCCGGACCTCACCTGGGTTTTGGAGTCGGGACCGGGGCAGAGCCTGGGAGTGCATCCAAAGTGGCTTTACAGAGCTCATGTCCCCTCCCTCCACCCAGAGTGCTAACAGATGTTTGGCCGTCGGGTTTCTCCCTGACCCCACGAGGTGCGTGGGGGACGTGGAGAGCCCAGTCCCTGAGCCCGGAGCAGGACTGGCCCAAAAAGGGATGGCGGGGGAGGCAGGGATGTATTAGGTGGGGAGGAGGCCACTGCCTTCTCCCTCACCCAGGAGGGAGGACCGCAGAGTTCATGCCCCACTGATGAGGGCGGAGCACAAAGCCGGTTGCCCCAGAGCAGCAGACAGGGCCTCTGAAACGTCAGGCGAGACGGTCAAGGTAGAGAATTCAACAGACCCGAGGGACGCCTGGGCCCTCTCTCGCCTGCTGCTTCCTGCCTCAGGACTCTCAGCTGAATCTTACCACCTCTGAGAAGCCTTCCCTGACCACTCTCAAGAGAGCCCTCCCAGATCACTGGCTATCACATCCTTGGTCTCGTCACCTTCGTTACAGAGCTTAGCGCCGTCTCAAGTTTACGTCACTGATTTCTGTGTTAGCCATGTTCAGGCTGGTTCCCACCGTGGCTCCCCCAGACCTCGCGCGTAGGTGGCACTCGGTGAGGACTGCCTACCAGGCGCTCACATGGATTTCATTCACGCTGGGACGCGATGCCCAGCACGGCCCTGCCTACCAGGTTTGCTCTGTGGAGGGGGGCGGGCAAAGCCATGCGTTTGACAGCTGGTGAGCCTCTCGGACCACTGGACGAGTCGTGCCGCGTGGACGCTGAGGCGCAGGGAGGGTGAGGTCTCCCTGCCAGGGGCCTGCGATCAGGGAAAAATCTCAGGGTCTTACCCAGTGGAGACCCAGGGCCCATCGAGGCGTGGGGGCAGCAGTGCCGTGACGGGTGCTCTGTTGGGCAGGGGCCGTTGGCAGCGAGGCTCCCAGTGTAGATGGCTGTCCCCTCCCGTCCCGGTCGCCTCTGCCGTGTGGGCTGCAAAGCAGACGGACATAGGTTAGTGGTCCTGACTCCCTGCAGAGACTCTGCCCGCCCTGCCCGCCTCCCCAACCCATCCTGGGCCACAGCAGAGAGCCAGGCACAGTCTGGCTTTGGCCTCTCCCCAGGGTGCCCAGCTCCCCCTCAGCCGCACCCAAATCAAGGTGCCTAGAATCGGCCTCTGGACCCATCGTCTCCTGCATCTCAGACGTGACCGCCATGGAGTACTAGCCTCCCGGAGGGGGATTACCCCAGGTCCCAGCGCTGGAAAGTCTCTGAGAGTTGCTGCGCCACACCAGACTCCCAGGAGCCCAGATCTTCTAAAGACTCGCCGGGCGCTGCCCGGTCCACCGAAGAGCCCAGGTTCTCCTTGACCTCTGCCCCACGGAGCAGGCCAGAACGGCCACCTGCCTGTCGAGACCACTCGCATAACGGGCCCCCTCGGTGGGGCCCGTGTGTCGTCCGTCTGGGCGTCACGGGCCCCCCCGCCGGCGCCTGGCACATAGCGGGCGTCCGCAGGCCTGTGGTGGGTGCCCGGGCTGACGTGAAGAATCGGAGGCCCAGGCAGGACGGCCGTGAGCCGCGGGGGCCTCAGATCCTCCCGAGGGACCCCCACATGTGCTCATCTTATGGAGACAAGCCAGGCTTGGCCACGGAGCTGTTCAAAATCCCTCCTGCTTGCTGTCCTGAGGCGAGCGCCCCGGGGCCTTCAGCTGCCGAAGGGCAGCGGTTTCTCCAGAAACCGTCATCTCCACTCAGAGGGCCGGGCTTGACACAACGCAGATGGCGGGATGTGTGGGAAGCTGGGCGGTGAGCAGCGTCCAACTATTACGGCAACGGGCCGTGTCCGGGGGCGGCCGGCCTCGACCCGCTGGCCAGCTCCTGCGGCGGGGCTTTCCAACGGCACTTCCTCCCACCGAGCCTGGGGGCCACGCGATGGGGGGCCAGCGGGGGACCCGGGCCCTGACGGCCCAGGGGCCCCAGGAAGGCTCGATGGTGGAGTGGAAAAGCAGACGAAAGGTACATCCCGCCCCCTTCTCCTCTGCACACCACACCTTCCTGGCACCCCCCCCCCCAGGGCAGGCCTGGGGAGGCCTGAGGGTCCCACACCAGCCCCTTCGCAGCCGTCCGATGGGGCGCGTGACCCCCAAACTCTCTGCGCCCCCGCAGCGTCTCAGGAAAATGAGGCGGAGCAGATTCCTCACTTCCTGGAGGCCCCGGGGTCTCATTTGGAGACCCTTGGGATCCCCCGAGATCAGCTGAGAAAGCAGAGGTGACGCCCTGGTGACCACAGTCATGGCAGCCACAGTTTCTGTGAACCGAGTGTCACCCCCCCACGGGTTTTATTCGCTGCCTGACTTTTGTGACGGCCCTTGGAGGCGGGCGTCAGCATCAGCCTCCTCTTATGGGCAGAGAGACAGGCTGGGTGAGCTGGGCTTGGCTTGCACAGGGGCACGTGCTGCCCAAATGTGACAAAACCCAGGTGGTCAGACTGTGGCTGGCTGCTTTCACTATTGGCCGTCTTGCATCACAGGAAAGGAGAAAGGGGCTGTTTTCAAGACTCGGTGGGATGAATTTGCTGGATGGATGGATGGATGGATGGATGGATGGATGGATGGGTGGATGGGTGGATGGGTGGATAAAAACGCTGATGCCCCACTGCGTCCTTGCTATATTCCCAGTGTGTCCTATAGCTGGTTTATGGGTTTTAACCCACTAAATAGGAGGAATGAAAACAACCACCGTACCAA